CATGAAAGGGATGTTTGCTGGTGCGGTGTCGTTCAATCAGCCGCTCGCCTCATGGAAGACATCAGCGGTGACCGACATGAGCTTCATGTTCCAGAAGGCATTCGCTTTCGATGGTTGGATAGGGTGCTGGGACACGTCAGCTGTGAGGGACATGCGTGGAATGTTTTCTGGAACCTCTGTGTTCAATCAGTCTCTTGGTACCTGGGATACTGCAAAGGCGACAGATATGAGCGGTATGTTTGAAGGAGCCATCGCCTTTAATCAGCCGGTTGGCGAATGGGATACCTCCGCTGTTACAGACCTCAGCCACATGTTTCGTGAAGCCTCATCTTTCAATCAGCCGGTCTCCTCGTGGGACACTCGATCTGTCACAACCATGAAGAGCATGTTTGACGGTGCCCACACATTTAACCAGCCTATCGCTTCGTGGAAGACTGCAGCGGTAACCAACATGCATGCCATGTTTCGCCATGCATCGGTATTCAATCAGCCGCTTGGCTCGTGGGATATGGCGGCTGTTGTGGATGCCAGCTACATGTTCTATGGTGCAGCTGCTTTCGACCAGCCATTGGACTCATGGAATATGTCGGCGTTAGCGGATGCGAGCTTCATGTTTCATTTGGCCGTGTCATTCAGCCACACAAGAGACGTGTCTTTCTGGCGCTCGGCATCATTCCCTGCGATCCAAACAGATGCGACTCATTCCTTATTCGTCCAGGCGATGGACGGCCTGGAAGAGTCAACTAAGCACGACCAGTTCTTCTATCTTGCAGATGATTTCGCCCGCCCGCCTTGCCACACCGGATTCAGGCCCGTTGCCGGTGTTTGCACCTCCTGCCCGACGGGGCAGTACGCAGTGGCCGGTGAGTCCCAATGTCAGGAATGCCCAAAGGGAGCTGTTCCCACCCCGGATCAAGGTAGCTGCCTGGATTGCCCCTATGGGACATATGCCCTGGAGTGTCGCGATTCATGTGCTTTTCCGTTCATGTTGTATCTCGGACGCTGTTGTATGAAGCCTTTTCACTATCCCAAGCTCAAATAGCGCACTCGTTACCAGAAGCCCCAAAGATCGTCGAAGATCAATGGACCAGGTATGACCACGGCTGTGAGCTTTGGCCTTGGCCGGTTATGATCGTAAGTGTCGTGTGCCTCCTTGTGGCTGTGCAGGCTACGGGGTGACCCTAGAGCTTTTTAGCCTAATGGCTCAGGGTCTGCAGCAGTTTTGGTTGCCTTCAGGGTCGTATAGGGTCCCCATAAGCCCAGCCCTGAAGAGGTCGGGGTACTCTGGTGGCGTGCGCGCAAAGCTGCGGAGCTCGCTGCCGAGATCGAGGCTGCGAAGGTGCCTTCTTTTGCCACAGATTTCTCACGTAGTGGAACAGAGAATGACAACTACAAGCCGTCTTTCAAGTTTACTGTTACAGCAGAAAGCATTTCGCGAACCCCAACTGTTCCTCGAGCTTTTTTGTGGCGAAGCAGAAGCTGAATGAATTATCACGCCACTAGTCACTAGTTGTCATGTGTTTATTCAAATTTCTTGTTTTGCGTGCGACGTGGTG